TTTTGCCTTCCTCTACTTCTTCCCCTGTTGGCGATGCTACTACTACTACTACTACTACTACTACTACCACCTACTACTCCTACCTACTGCTACTACTACTACTACTACTACTGCTACTGCTACTACTGCTTCTACTGCTACTGCTACTGCTACTACTACTGCTGCTGCTGCTGCCACTACCACAACAGCTACTACAACTACTACAAGAACCAGTACTACCACTAGGGCAACTACTGCTACTAATAATACTACTACTACTACTACTACTACTACTACTACTCCTACTACTTAGACGACGACTACGACTGCGACGACTACAACTACGACGACTACTACTCCTGCTCCTACTTCTCGTCCTACTTCTACTCTAACTTCTTTTACTACCGCCACCGTCTACCAAAGCTGAGGCGGCGAACAGCAAGTGCGGCAAGTCGTACTACATCAATGGTAGCCATGACAATGGAGATTGCAGTCCTGATTACAATGCTGGCCATGCCATGACAGCCGTATAAATTTTAAAGTCATGTAATCCGTTTTACCGGCGCTGCCCGTGACGTTATCATCAACGGAACAGGAATCACGCTACGGATCGAGGAAGAGTGGTAAGCCTGGAGAGTAACAGTTCCCAGACAATCAGGGGAAAACAAACTTACGCCGATGCCAAGACAATACGCAACAGAGCTAGGCTTACTGCCGGAGTCCTCTTTTGCAACCAGTCCTCCATGTTTGGCTGCTCTGTGCAAAAAGTTCGCCTTGCTTCTGCGTGCAGAAAAGTTGCGGCAGCTTCCTGCAGCTGTTGATCCTGCATAAGCTTGCAAAGATTGCTCCCAAACTCCCAAGTTTAAGACTTCTTCTTCTTCGAATTCTGAACAGGCGGAACTGTTAACCACACGATCGATATAACTAGTTGGCCTTATATCATCGCCCGATTCAACGCACGCATACTACGACCATGGTGTCGTCAGTAATACTGCCAGCTGCGCATATTGTTGGAAGTATGTTTGTTGGCTGGAGCTCCATCAAGGGTTGTCCCGAAGAGTGCGCATCCTGCTCTTTCACCAACGCTGCAACACGACGATACCCCAGAAACAGCCTTTAAATGTCATCACGGTTTGTAACACCAGGCCAAGATGCAGCTCGTGCGACACCAATGCATGCTTCTTCTTCTTGTGATACTGACGGAAGTACAATCCCAAATGCACCGCCGTACACGACGGGTACTGCCAACAGATGCAGTCTTCAAGATCGAAAGCATTACTTTGCTCATGTCAGGTGCCTTCGCAGATTCATGCTGCTGCGTTGTTAGTAGCAGTCTATGCCAAAACTTGGTGGGTCGGTGGCACCTGGCACAGGTCTTCGTTTTCCCGAAAACGCCCTGTAAACCCCAAGCCCTAAACTTAACCTACACCCTAAACCTGGTCGGAACATCCTCGGCCGTGTAGGATCTCATGCGGAAGAGTTCCGACTCCCTTGGGCGCAAGAAAGCTTTAGGGCAACAGAGCTAAGGACACGCAACTACTTTGGGGGCCTTTTTTAAACAGGCTTCGGGGCATAATTCACTACATTTCTAGTAGGCACAATGATGACAGCTCCTTCAGGGAGCAAGCAAGTGGTATAATCCGGGATGTAGTGGCTACAACGTACCCGGTTGTTGGGCATGGGCTTCAAAATTCGGTTCTCCTTCCCCGGGCTTCGGCGTGGCATGATTCCACGGGCCAGGCATGTTACTGTGAACACCACACCTGCGACCCAACGGCCACACTTTCAACACCGATTCCGGAGCATCGTCTATGGCAACCTACCAACTCTATGATTCAAGACAACAAACCAATAAGTCTCGTCCCTTACTACAACACCTGCACGTATTTTGCAAAACCAGGCACGACTTGCTTGAGAATTGTGTGGCCAGCGCAGAAGGTGACAGGCGCGACTCGCCTGCAACATCATTTTTTGCAAGCGGGCATGGATATGCTCAACAGCAATACACTACTTGGTCACGAGCGCTGGCACTAGCGCACAATACTTGAAGCTAGCAGCGCAATTGAACACTACCGAAATCTACCGGAACATCGCAAGAATCGCTGATCATGCTTATCTCGATGCCTGAGGGACGTCTTTCGCCTGAGGGACGTCTTTCGCGGTGACTCTCGGGCGACTGAGAGGAGGGAGAAGTGTCTGATGGTGAGGTCCTTGGCTCATATTATCAATCAATGAACAGAGTCTGATTTGATAGGAACTTTGTGGCCATGCTGTCATATTCCTACTGATTAGAAGCTGATACTGTCCAGTATATCCAGTACACTTCAAGACCGAGACTGCTACTCAGTCCGTATCCACGGACCACGGCCTGATTCTGATGATGCGCAAGTGTATGCATGAAGCAATCCCTAAGGGCCCATGTACCCAAATAGTAGATACTTAGGCCTTAAAGTACCTATATAGGGACCACTTTAAGGCCTAAGTATCTACTATGAGGGTACATGGAGCCTTTGGGGTAGCTGCAGCCCAGCAAGATTGTCCATCCAGGCGTCGCTGACCGAAGACGAGACAGGTTTTGCGGTGACGTCGGCAATCCCTTGCCGAGCCTTGGAGATTCAGTGAACCTCAGTCCGTGGCCAGGCCATGAACATGAGACACCCCAAAATCCACGAATCCAATCTTGTCTCTGCTGAGCTCGAACAGGATCGTAACAAGGGACGATCTTGTCGACCTAGACCCCAACTTCAGTGATCAAGTTCGGAATGCCTCAAGTGAGAATGAGCCGGGGAACGCATCCGGCCTATCACTAAGGAGTCGATGTTGCTGTTCCAAGCGCTGCATCAGCTGCTCGTGCTGTCTCTGCATCGTTTTGAGAAGCCTCGGCTACAAGTTGCGCACTGATCTAGACATGCAGGCCGGGATGTCCACCGCGGATTCTGACTACACATATACCAATTTCCCCAATGCCTCCACTCAACCAGATCGAGCATGTAGGAGCTTGAAGATCCAACATATAAACAGTAGTCCCAAACTGCTAGCCACAACCTCGAAACGGAGAGCCTGAAGACGAAGCTGCACAAGGGCAGAGGAAGTGTACGCATCGTCTGAACTGCACATAGTTTCCAGGATGGTCCGGCCCGCCATACGATGATATAGTCATATAGTCTTATAGAAGGCTGTTACTATATTATATTCAGGTATAGTCTACCAGCTTGCGCTCGCTAGTCTGGTGTAAGTGAGAACAGACGGCATATTTTGATACAGTATCGTAGTATAGTACCGCACGGTCTCGTGCATGTCGTATGGTGTCGGTATGGTATGGTATGGTATATAGAATAGTAGCAGTTCAGTATGATATAGTACAACATAATCTAGTAAACAGTATAGTATGGTACCCTAAACCCTAGTACATTGGGGGAGGCCTTCCTCGTGTTACGTGGGATTAAGCCGCCATTTGAGAAACTCTGGGTTCTGGGGGTTTATAAATGCAAAGGATGGAAGCTTCGGGTTTCGGGTTTAAGGCTTTCATTTCCTCCGATTGCTTTTCCTCCGATGTAGGGTTTAGGCTTCAAGTTTTCCAGATGCTCCCAGTCATTTGTTTATTTGCGGAGACGTCGCAAAGCAGTGTCTGCGGACTGAATGACCGGTCGGTCTTCCTGAAGCATCTCTGCCGGGACATCCTGGCCCGAGAAGCCGGAACTCTACGATTCAGAGAGGCTTGGCGGGTGGTTCTGGTGATGTGCTTCAACCCAAAAAAGTCATGCAGGACAAGATCATGCAACTTGATAAACACAGATGCTTCATTATCTAGTTTGCGCGACCGCAACGCCCAGAGGATGAATGAGGACCAACTCAAACTGACTGACCACTCAGCTTGCCCTCTAATGACTCTAATGGACGACAGACACAGGATTACGGAGGTGAGAACATCAATTCAACGACAAGATCAGGAATCTCACTCGTCACCAGAGGTAGCTCAGCATCCAAGTTGACATGATCACTCAAGAAGAATAAGGACTGCATCGAGGAAGTGCTACAAACGCCAGTGCTTCCAGCTGATACGCAATAAACTCCAGCCCTTGCTGACAGATGTAAATCACATAACCCTCGAACTTGAATATCCAGCAGCACCTTGCTGAATTGATATGATGCTGACCAGTGACCAGTAGCCTCCGGGATCTTATTTTACAATCACCATCTGAAAACTACGGGAGTCGACAGCTTGGCCAACACTCACCACTGAACACCCTCAGCACGACCAAAAAAGGGCATCCGAGAGCCCTAGAAGCCAAAAGCCCCAGCAATATTGACAAACCTCTTACCCTCACCAGCTTTCAGCTTATCTAGCGAATCAGGAGATTCACAGTACAGCGGCTCGGGACCCTATGCAATGGGTATACAGGTCACTCACAATAAACGGGTCATTGCCATGACTCATGCCCCGCAAAGAGTTCTACGGCTTGCAACTTGCACCTCAAGGTGCTCACAAACACTTTGGTCACTATTTATAGACAGACATTTCGAGTTGAGCAGCTGCTTCCCCTACCTAACCTCATGCCGAACGCCTACCTGCTGATTATCTAACGGTTGCCGCGAAGACCTTCATCAGTCTCTTGTAACGGGTTTGCATTCCGCAAACCCCCCAGGTACCTACTATATAAGGTACTTTAGCCCCTATGGCCCTATATAGTAGGTACCTGGGGGTTTAGGGTTCTAT